GCAGGAATTGGCTATTTTGTAAGTGCTAGTATGTAGTCAAATGTTGTTTAAATTAGAACAATCACTTTATGCCTCTCACTCATTTGAAAAATGAACCTTATTCTCTATAACACTTTAATTATTTGTGTCCAGAAGGAATCCAGAAGAGAACACAAGCTTTCAGGAATTTTTTGTACTTGAAGAGGACTCATAGTGTTGCAAGTGTGTATGTCATTCTTGCATGGAGTCAAATATTAATCCTCATTCCATTCTCCTAATTTTAATAAATGGATTGTGTGGGCTAGGCCTTTTCTTAACTTCTGACTTTGTTCAGGCTGGAGGGGTTGGGCCATCTGTGGGAAGAGTCTGGGCAGTGAGCCCTACTCTTGAGTTCTCACTGTGCTCTCAAATTATTTTTCATTTCTTTGACATCTCTCTCATTCAAGGGGGTGAATGTACCTTTGTGCTATGTAAGTTGTAGTATTCAGTGACAGGGTATTATGAGTTCTTTGTGTGCATAATTCCATGTTATGAAAACCTTTCACCAACTTCTTAAATTGGCTGGTTTGAAGTGCATATTGTGTTATAGCATAATCTGTATTATTAAGAATATGAACTTGGGGAATTAGCATTAGATCTTTGAGAAAGAAGTGGGAATTCAAAGAGAATGACTTGCCTTCATTCTTCAGCCTTGATTTAGGGTACATTATTTAACATGTCATTTCTTCTAAGTGTTTGACTTCAGTTTCTTTATGGGGCTTGCTGAGATGATTTCAAAACTTTAACTATCTTTAGGGGAGAATTTACCAAGATATGCCTTAAAGAAAATAATATTTTCTTCAATTGCTGCTATTTCTGAATTATCAGTCACAGTGTATGGTTAATGATAAACCATGCAGATGCCTTGTAACAATAGTTTTGCAGGCTAGACACTTTACAGGAAGAATAATAGAGATTCAGCTTCTGCCTTTTAGGAGCTTGATACCAATGACAGAAAATAGTAGAAGACCTACAGACAATTGAGTAATACAACATTGACTAAAGGTGTGTGTTTTTTTTAACAGGGCTTCACTCATATATAAATTCTGAGTTTATTTCATGAACTAAGATACATCACACTGAACGCATCTAAATCCATTGCTATCAAGTCAATTCCAACTCACAGTGACCCTATAGGCCAGAGTAGAACTGCTACTTAGGGTTTCCAAGACCATAAATCTTTTACAGAAGCAGGCTGCCACATCCTTCTCCTGGGAAGTGGCTGGGATTCAAACACCAACCTTTTGTTTAGCAGCCAAGCACTTTAACCACAGGTCCCCTAACATCACACTAACGAATATGTATTCCCTGGAATTCAAGAATTCAAGGCTTAACTTCTTGTCCCTTAAAAAGCTGTTACTCACTTTTTCACCTTATTTGTTCATTTCAACTTAATTCATTCAACATCACTTGAAGTGTACTTTCTCGGTGCCAAGCCCTATTGCTGTGTAACAGATTACCCCAAAATTTAGTGGTTAAAACAACAACTTAATGGCTTAGTTAGATGTTTTTGACCTGAGTCTCTCATAAGATGACAGTCAAGATGTTGACTGATGCTGAAAACTTGACTGGAGCTGAAGGATCACTTTCAATATGACTTGCTCACATGGCTGGCAAGTAAAATGTAAGTTACCAACAGGAAGCTTCTTTTACCTGCCACAAAGGCTGCTTGATTATCTTTATGGTCTGGTGGCTGGTTTTCCCCCAGAGCAAGTGATTCAAGAGAGAACAGGGTAGAAGCTGCAATGTCTTTGTGACCTTGTCTTGGAAGGAGCATTGCCATAGAAATCTATTGGTTAAAGAGGTGAATCCCATTCAGTGTGGGAGGGTGTACACTAGGGTGTAAATACCAGGAAATGAGAATCATTGGAGGGTATCTTGGAGGCTGTTTATTGTATCCCTGGAGATTTGAAGGTGAAAAAGCCTCCTAAAGTTGTTAACATTTTCACCTTTTCTCTACTTGGCTAAGCAAATTCCCATTGGAGAGGTACCATTTAAAGAAATATGCCAACTCATTGGAAGAGAATCTTTAAGAGTTTCCCAGTTCATTCTTTGTTGTAGTGTACTTGCCTGTTATCTTCAAGTCTTCAAGTCTCATTCTTCTTCCACAGCCTCTCCCTGATGAGCTCAGTCATTGAGCACCCATTGTCTATGTAACCATTCATGATCACTGAGCACTCATTGTATACTTAATTATTATTTACAGAGATCAATTCAGTACAAGAAAAATAAAAGATTTTGGTTTCAAGCCTATTCATTTTCTGACTTCATCCTCCATGTAGTAGGAACTTAAACAAAAAACAAACCAAAAAACCCAAACCTGTTGCCTGTTGGGTCAATTCTGACTCATAGTAACCCTCAGATGGCTAGGAGTTGGAATGGGATCCTAGTCTAGGAAATGCTGATCCCATTGGAATCCTCCTCACAAGCCTTGGAAGTGGCTTTCTCTACAACTCTCCTCTGTAACTATTACTTACCTTCTGTTTTGGTCTGCTAGTGCTGCTCTAACAGAAAATACCACAAGTGGGTGGTTTGAACAAACAGGGGTATATTCTCTTACAATTTAGGAAGCTAGAAGTCCGAGTTCAAAGTGCCAGCTCTAGGGGCTGGGTGAAAGCCCTTTGACCTTGAACTTCAGCTCTGCCTCTTGCCTCAGCCCACTGAAGCTGGAGGCATCTCTTAACTCAGGCAGCTGCTGACTGCTGAGGCTGACAAACCCAAGGTCAACAAGTAAAATGGCACAGTCCCCAAATTATCAAGCAACATGGCAGGCCACTAATTCAAGTCCATTAACAGTCCCAAGATAAGCAGACAATATGGCAGGCCACTGAGATGAAGACTCGGCCAAATGCAGGATCCAGACATGCCAAATGCTCAAGACCTTTCTCAAAACATCTTCTTATATACTAGAAGCAGACCACATCCCCAAGCCAGCTACGCAGCTGCTCACGGTAGATTCCGCCATGGAGTTGATTACCAGTCTAATCATGGGGAATAACGACATCCAGCTGCCCAGCCACTCAACCAGGCCCAGCCAAGTTGACTCATAACCTTAACCACCACACCTTCCAATGAACTCATATCTATTAGTAATATTATTACTGGTTAAGGACACTTGAAAATAGTTTAGAAGAAGGAGCTAAGGGAATTGAAGTAAATCAGGTCACTTTAATTAAGGATTTATAGATAAACCAGGTTTTTCCCTCTCAGAGAGTGAAAAAGCAGTTTGAGGGTGGGAAATAACCCAAACCTACTGCCATCAAGTTGATTCTAACTCATAGCTATCCCCACTGGGTTTCCAAGGCTATAAATATTTATGGAAGTAAATCTACTTCATCTTCCTCCTATAGAGCAACTAGATGGTTTGAACTGCTGACCTTCTGGTTAGCAGCCAAATACCTTACCCACTACGCCACTAGAGAAAGAGAATAATAAGCATTCCTGTACATATACTATATGCCAAGCACTATATGAAGAACTTGACTTGCATTAGTTTTTTATTTTTTCCATGGCAACCTGATGAATATCTAGAAGGATGAAAAACAGAAAAATAATATCTGACTTTAGTTTGTTTTTTTTTTCAATAAACCAAACTCTAGACTCACTGCCATTGAGTCGATTCCAACTCATAGCAACTCCCTTTGGGTTTCCAAGGTGTTAAATCTTTACAGAAGTAGATTGCCCGGTCTTCCTTCCTCAGAGTGACTGGTGGGTTTGAACCACCAACCTCTGGTTAGCAATCAAATGCCTTAGGCCCTATGCCACCAGATCTCCTTATTTGACTGTGTGTGTGTGTGTGTGTGTGTGTATAAACCAAATTCACTGCTGTCGAGTTGATTCGACTCATAGCAACTCTTCCTTGGCTTTCTGAGGCAGTATCTCTATGGAAGTAGATTGCCCAATCTTCCTTCCAAGGAGTGGCTCATGGGTTTGAACTGCCAGCCTTCTGGTTATCAGTCAAATGCCTTAGTTCCTATACCACCAGACTCCTTATTTGAGTATGTTGTTGTTGTTGTTGTTGTTGTTATGTGCCATTGAGTCGGCCCCGACTCATAGTATAGGACCCAATAATAATCCCCCTTCACATTGCCTGAGTCCTGAACCAACCGAGCAGATGGAGATTAGAATATCAGTCGCTAGAATTAGACAACCCTGCTCTCCGCTAAGCAGCTTGGGACCTACAGGGCTCCCCTGCACAGATTGCACCCTGCCTGCTTTGTGGGGAAGGCTCCCTGCAGGGAGAGACCTCTAGTGGAAAGCTGAGGAAGAAGCTGAGTGACCATACCCACTTGCTCCTTCCAACTCACTCTTTTCCTGGTCACGGAGAGAGACCAAAACTATTACACAATCGATGATCCTGTGCAGAGAAATGCGGGATTAGAGGTCGCTCCCTAAGAGCTCACCTTGGAAGGCTCTGATTCTTTTATTGGGGGAGGGTTTAGAGAAAACATGAACCATTTAGGGATTGTAGAAGCCCCTGGTTAACAGAGAGAAGCTCTTTCAATGCCAATAGAATTTGTCTTTTATACAGAAAACATTTCTTAGATTCAGTGAGAAACTGACCTGAGTGTTGAGGAAGTTTACACGGAGTTGGGGGCAGAGTGTGAAGCCTAGGTAACAGGAGCCAAAGGGAGAAATTGCCACTGTTTTCTGGCGAACAAAGGAAGGAGCACCGTCTTTCCCACCCCTCTCCTTACTGGATTGGGTGAGTTATAAGATGTTCTCCAGGAGACCACTCACCACAGCCCTGAGCTGCTCTCATGGGATGCCTTCATCTGTCTGTGGGTGACTTTGGAAATCTCTGTGGAAGTGAGCTTCCAGAGAGGATGGGTGTTTTGAGGATCAAGTCTGGATTGATGCAGAAAAGCAGGAAGGCATTACAGAGGGCTGCAGTTTAATGCCTGGGATGATGACATTTTTTTCTTTTTTTAGTGATTATGCATTTGATGTACACATAATATTAAAATGAAATTGTTTTTCAGTTTATGTGCAAGTGTTCTCTGCCTTGATCGTGATCATCTCCGGAGCCTTTGTTATCACTATAATTTACAGGTCAGTCATATATTTTTTTTCCTTTTTCAATTTTAATTGTGATTTGTGTGAAAGTTTAGAGAGCAAGTTCATTTTCCATGGAGCAGTTTATATACATTTTGTTTCATGATATTGATTGCAATCCCCATAATGTCATAGTTCTCATCCCACTTTCTCCCTGTGGTAACCTTTTCCCTGTGACCTCCTTTCTGATGCATTCCTGCCCTCTGAGCTCTCTCCCTGTACAAATACTGCCCTTCTGATCTTCCATGATTGATTGTTCTAAAGAGTGTACCTATGTGGTGTAAATGTTCACCTTATATGCCTATCATTTGGCTGGAAGCCATGGGAGTGAAATCAGTTCCAGGGCAGAGGGCTCAGTAAGGGCCATAGTCTCAGGGATTTCACCAGTCTATATCAGACTGGTAAGCCTGGCCTTTTTTTTTTTTTTTTTTTTTATGATTTTGAGTTTTGTTCCAAATTTTTTTCCCGCTCTATCCAGGATCTCCTACACTGATCCTCTTTCTAAGTGGTTGACAGTGGTAGCTGGGCACCGTCTAGTTCTTCAGGTCTCAGGATCATGTAGGGTGAGGTTCATGTGGTCCACTTGTCCCTTGGACTAATTGACTTCAAGCAGCTTTGGTTTTCTTCATTCTTCTTTGCTCTGGAAGAGGAGAGACCAACTGTTGCATGCTAGATGGTTGCTTGCAATCTTTGAGGACCCCAGTGGCTACTCACCAAAGTAGAACACAGAACTATGTTTTGGTGTAGTATGTTATGCCAATAGAGCTTGATGTCCCCTGCGACCATGGTCCTAAGCCCAACATGATCCTAAGTCCAACAGTTCGCTTCCTCAGGGTAGTAGGCTGTGGCTAAGAAGTTGTTATAATTTTGTCCCCTGTTAGTTCTATTTATATAAAAATTCTTATAGCACATACAAATACATATGTAGAAATATTGTCTGCCAAACTTATATGTGGTCATGGTTATATTCCCTTTTGCCTAGACATACCTGATCATTCAGCTTGTCTACCTATGTATCTACCCATAGATTAATGTTTGTTATTACTGATAATGCAATATTATGCTTGCAAAAATGTTTACCTTTGTTGTCTATACCTCTTGTGCCCCTCTCTGTATCTCGGTCAGTGATTTTTTGTTATTTCAAATTTAAATCCAGAACTTACAGAGTGGGAGAAGAAAAGGAATGTGAGCGATTTAAAGGCAGGCCACAGGCTTTTCCCTTACCTCCTTCTTATTCTTGCTCAGCATGCTCCTACCTGCTCCTTTGGGCTTGGAAACTGATGGGGGAGACCAGGAACAATGCACTTACAAATGTGTAATGGACTTGAGCTGTCTGGGCAGGAAACACTTGAATTCATTTTCTCCAGAGACACTGGCATTTAGTGAGCACTTAAAATTCTAAGTGCTCTGTGCATATTATTTCATTTAATCCTGACAACCACCTAATGGCGTAGGTGCCATTACTATCCTCTGATTAATTTTAGCACCAACAAGGCTTAGCAACATACTAAGTTCCCACAGCTCATATGTGGGACCTCACTCAGACTTGGGACTCTAACTCAGGCCATGTGCTTTGAGAGCCCTTGCACCGATGTTTCACATCCAGGGCTCATTGATTGTTCTCTGTGTCCTTTGAAGTCATATTGGTAGGATGCTAGAGTTTGGAAGTATCTCCGACACGAGTCTACCTCCTATCATTTTAATGGTGATGGGATGGAGACCCAGAGAGGCCAAGACACTTGACCCTTCTTCTACCCTTGGCTCCTGTCCACAGAGTAGGACTGCGATATAGACCATCTCACTTTGGAACCTAGGCTATTTCTACCACAAAACCTCTACTTGTGACTGGCATGCCTTTAATGTACTGTGAACAAAAGCTACTGTGATTATTTAAGTCATTTAGTCCCAAAATAAGAAAAACCATGTCCCTATTATAAGTGGTGCTAGGTGGGTATGTGGACTTATTTATTAATCTAATTTTAATGCAGCCTAGTATAACACTTTGCCACTCCCTGTGTATATCCTAGGAAATCCAGGTACCACATAGTGATTGTCTATTTTAGTTATTGTATCTTAAATATCTTTACAAATATACATGCAGATGAAAATCAATGACACATGGAGACAGTTGGTCCAAAGGGCTAATGGACCATGAGAATCTCAGCTTATATGACCCTGAGACCAGAAGAACTAGATGGTACCTGGCTACTACTGTCAACCACTCAGAAAGGGATCACAATTGAACATTCCAGATAGAGTGGGGAAAAAAATGTGGAACAAAATATGGAAACATAAAAAAGGTCAGAAGTACTGGTTGGATAGAGACTGGTGAAACCCCTGAAACTATAGCCCCGAGTCACCATTTGGGCCTGGAATTGCACTCACTCCTGTGGCTTAACTCTCAGCCAAGCAATAAACCTATGAGCTGAACAACTATACCAAGGAGATGCAGTCCTTAGAACAATCAACCATGGGAGATCAAAAGGGCAGCATTTGCACAGGGAAAAGGTAGGGAGGCAGGAATGCATAGGCACAAAGGACACAGGGAAAGGGTAACCACAGGGAGGAAGTGGGAGGAGAGCTGTTACACTGCAGGGAATGGAACCAGTGTCACAAAATAAGATGTTTATGTACTGTTGAATGTAAAACACATCTGCTGTGTAAAATTTCACCCAAATCATAATTAACAGCTAAAAAAATTCACACAATTATGCACAATTTGAAACCCATTTGCACAATTATGAAACTCATATTTTAAAAGGGATATCCTCTGACCTACAGAAATTTTCCATTTTTAATTTCTATGATTGTGATAAAAACTCTCTTCCCACCAGAGTTTTTCGAGAGAGTAGGAGAGAAAAGGATGTCTCTTCGGATATAAGTTCACCATCCAAGTTAGATGATAAACTCTCAGCCAGTGATAAAACAGTGTCGCAGGAGCAGAAATCTGAATCGACAGCGCAAAGTTCTGAATCCCCTGCAGCAAGTAAGCTGACTTTTTGCTTGTTCGCAGGTGTAGGGCAAAGAGCATTGCTTCATTTCCTTATAAGATCTTGCATGCAAAAAACATTCAAAACTTTCTTGACACCTCAACAAAAGTTATTATTTTTTTTTAATTTAAATTTTGTCAGAGTTCTAATTTATCTTATCCAAATATGGAGCACCTGGTTTATATTGTGGAGTCTGCTCCCAATGTGTTTCCTGCTTTTAAAGCACTTTTTCTTACATATAAATTGTCTTCCACCTTTTCTTCTCCTTATCTCCTGTCACTCTGGCATCCTAGCACCTCTGGACTGGAGCCCAATGTTGGTGGGGAGTGTGTCTAAGTGCATGGGATGAAGATCAGAGGTTCTGGAGTGAGAATAAAGCACATGGGCAACATTCAGTCAATGGATTTCCTAGCATTTGTGCCTTAGAACATAACTTCCCACTCTGTGGCACTCTGCACATGCTCATGGTTGTGGTGAATAGTGTAAAGGACAGTTAAGCATACCTCATCTGGTTTTAAGTTGTTTATATATTTACTAATTCTCTTAGGGGGAGCTCTGATGGCACAGCGCCTAAGGCATTTGACTGCTAACCAGAAGGCTGGTGGTTCAAACCCACTAGCCACTCCTTGGAAGGAAGATGGGACAATCTACTTCTGTAGAGATACCGCTTCAGAAACCCAAGAAGGGGTTGCTATGAGTCAGAAATGACTTGACGGCAGTGAGTTTAAATTCTCGTAGGAGACTTTAGTAGCTTGCTTGTTGCTTTTTATTTGTGAGCAACCTTGCCAGGTTAGAGAAAGAAACATTCCAAATGATCATCTTTATCTTCAGTGATGTTTGTATGGGAATCCTATAAGTCTTTCATTATATATTAGCCACATTTACTTAATGTTTTCCCGGAAGGAGCAATCAATAAGGAAAAGCAAGAGGCAGAGAGAAATCTGCCCAAACTTTTCTTTAGATCTGGAATGCTGTGACCCGAGCACAACACGTGTGCAAGTGATAATTTCCTGTAGGGCATAGTGTTGACCTTCTCACTGGTACTCTCTGTGTAATGAGACAATAATATATGAAGACGCTTTCTACTCTTTGAAAAGGCTTCTTTCTCAGATCTGAAGTGAGAAACACAGGGTAGTATATAGCCACCCACCAAACTGGTTTTTTAGTAAATAATTGCCAATTGTAGGCCATGTGGATATGTTCAAAGAACTTGATGAAATTTCCTTGGATTGCTGAATATTCCATTATTATTATTTTTTAATACAGCAGAAACACTTACAATATCACAAAATGAAACATCTGAGGAATGAATTGCATCATTAAGAAGTAAGATTGGCAGAAATTTCCAAATTAAATTGGACAGCAGATGAAATGTGTGATGGAACTACCACCCAATGAGAAAAAATAAAGGTATTTTAAAAGTTGCTTCTTGTTTATATTGCCTTATTCAATGCTATATCTTTTTTAAAATTTTAATAATATATTTAATATATCTAGAATATTATTAGTTCAACATGTAACCAATATAAAAATTGAGATATTTAACTTCTTTTTTGGTACTAAGTGTTGAAATCTGATATGTACTTTACACTTATATTACATTTCAATTCAGACTAAGCATATTTCAAGTGCTCAGTAACCACCTGTGGCTTATTGTGACCTGCCTCCAACTCATGTGGGTGTCCCATGCACAGTGAGATCCAACCATTGTGATCCGTAGGATATAGATAGATTGAGATAGAGATGTGCAATACACACACACATGTACATATACATTTTATTATTATAAATATATATAAAACACAATATTTGCAAATTCAACATTTTAGATGTAGTTTAGGGATATCAATTACATTAGGGAAAGGAGGAGCCATTATTTAGGAAGCAGTGAGTTTTTGTTTACGGTGATAGCAAATTTGGCACTGACTATATGTGATGGTTAGAGGAGCTCTGGTGACTAATTAGTAATTTAGTCAAGTGCCTAAGGCATTTGACTACTACCCAGAAGGTTGGTGGTCAAACCCATCAGCCACTCCGTGGAAGGAAGACTGGCAATCTACTTCCATAAAGATTAATTGCTTCGCAAACCCAAAGGTAGTTGTGAGTCAGAATCAACTTGATGGCAGTGAGTTTTTTTTTTCCTTTTAAAATAGGTGACGGTTACAGTGCTTTAAGAAAGATAAAGCCTTTGCAGTACGAGAACATAAAGTATAAGTTTACATTTTTTAGTGTCACTGTTTGTTATTTATATTGAAGTCATGGCAGCTTATAACGTTGACAACACAATATTACATAGGGTCTGATTTTTTAGAAGACAGGCTACATAAAGCAGAGCTGTCATTCAGACTCATGAGGAATACAAGGCTTGCCCAGCATTACACTTTGCTAATGATTAGCATAGGATACAAGAAAGGAGCAGCATCAAGATCCAAGAGGGGCTCAATCGTTATCGGTAGCTTCCTAAACACCCCTGTTTACAGTAGAATGAATGTTGGCTTCAGAGTGACTAGCAAATGCTAACTATGTGTATACACATTTGTCAGCCCAGGAAAGCTCCTTAATTTTATTTAATTAATTTTTATTTTTTAAAATTTTATTGTGATTTGGATGAAAGTTTACAGAGCAAATTCATTTTCCATATAGCAGTTCATACACATTTTGTTTCAGCTCCTTAATTTTAGAGGCTCAAGTTTTGTTTTACTTCTTTTTTGAAGAACTTGTATTCTCCAATGTACTGGTGGCTCTTAGACACACAAATAACAGGCTTTTGAATTATTTATTTATTTATTATGATTATTTGTAATTTATTTACTTTTTGTTGAGAATATATACAACAGAACACACACAACTCAATACTTCCTACACGTACAATTCAGTGACATTGATTATGTTGAGTTATGCAACCATTCTCACCCTCCTTTTCTGAGTTGTTCCTCCCTTATTAACACAAACTGACTGTTCCCTAAGTTTCCTATCAGATCTTTCAAGTTAAGCTACACTATCGTTTGGTTATAAGAAGACTGCAGGGAATATTTTTGGTTTAGGTTTAAGTTTTAAAGATGATCTCAGTGCAATAGTTTCAGGGGTTCATCCTACTTTCATGGACTCCAGAAAATTCTCTGAGAATTTGGAATTCTGTTCTGTATTTTCCCCCTTTTGATCAAAGATTCTTCAATAGAATTCTTCTATAGAATCTTTGATCAAAATGTTCAGTTAAGGTAGCCAGGTACAATCCAGTTCTGGTCTCATGGAAAAGGAGGTAGTTGTTCATGGAGGCAGTTAGCCATGTGCCTTCCATTCCCTCCTCCTGTTCCTGACTCTCCTTCCTCCTCTCCTACTTCAGGTGAATAGAGACTAATTGTTTTACCTTGGATGCCACTTACAAGTTTTTAAGACCCCAGGCACTATGCAATGAATAGGAAGTAGAACAGAAGCACTAACATAGTACTAGGCCAGTTAACTGGGATGATGAGACCATGACCCTAAACCACCAAACCAAGTAACCAAATCCCATGAGGTGTTTGGCTCTACATAAGCAGCCTCAGCAGCTACTCTTTTGTTGTCTTTGTAAGTGTATCTATTACACAACTTTTGCCAATTCAACTTTCAACAGGCATACAGCTTTTTGACAATAATTACATTAATTGGCTATGCAACCTTACACATAATCAAAGTGATTTTTCCATCACCATAAACTGAAACACAGTACTCCATAAACAATATACCCTTGTCCTCCTTCCTGCCCCTAGTAACCACTAACAAACTTTGGTCTTTATACATTTGCCTGTTCATCTTGTATAAGTGAGGTCATAAAATACTTGTCCTTTTGTTATTGACTTATCTCGGTAAGCAATGTCTTCAAGCTTTATCTATATTGTAGCCCTATCAAGACTTCATTTCTCTTACTGTTGAGTGTTGGAATGAAATATTCCATTGTGTGTGTGTACCACATTTTGTGTAACCATTCATCCATTGATTGCCCTCTAGATTGTTTCCAACTTTTGGATATTGTGAATAGTGCTGCAATGAACATTGGTATTGATGTTTCTTTTTGAGTCTCTGCTTTCAAGTATTTTGGGTATATACGTAGGAGTGGAAATTTTGGGTCATATGGTAGTTCTTAGAGGAATTAGCCCTCAGTTTTCCACAATGGCTGTACCATTTTGCATTCCCGCCAGCAATGGATAAGTGTTCCAATTTCCCACATCCTCACTAACATTTGTGATTTTCTCTTTATTTATTTAAGGAGCTCTGGTGCTATAGTACCTAAGGTATTTGACTACCAACCAGAAGGTTGGTGGTTCAAACCCACCAGCCTGTCCACAGAAGGGAGATGGGGTGATCTAATTCTGAAAATATTTACTACCTCAGAAACCCAATGGGGTTATTATGAGTCAGAATCAACTCCACGGTGGTGAATTTTTTTTTTTGTTTGGTGGTGTAGTGGCAAAAGCATGCAGCTGCTAACCCAAAAGTCATCAGTTTGAACCCACAGCTGCTTCACAGGAGGAAGATGAGACAGTTTACTTTCATAAAGATTATAGCCGAGGACTTCTGGTAAGATGGTGCAATAGGGAGAAAGACTGTACAGACACTCTTCAACAAAGAAAAGGGGAACCAATTAACACAGACACAGAAGATAATCCTGGACCCCTGAGCCTTGAAGGGAAGGATATAGAAGTGGACTAAACCCAAATAGCAGAAGAATTTGCATGAAAATACCAAAAAAGGAGACATAGGAGTTGCGGTCTGGCAGTGATCCTGAGTGAGGCTGACGGCACAGCATAGACAGCTTGGAGAGTCCTGAGTGGTGGTAGGACCTAATAATTAGCCTAAAAATCAGCCCTGCTAGCCAGGGACTGCACGGAGGACTGCTCTGGTGGCTGGGGAATAAAAAGTGAAGCACCAGCAAAGATAAAGGCAGGCTGAGCTGTGGACTTTTGCCTGTCCAGAGGACACCACCATTTTGAATGTTTACAAGTGGCTTGGCCATTTTGGATATTTAAAGAGACAGCGCTCGCCGAGATTCCACGGGCTTAAGAACAGGTTCTGCTTGCCAGTAATCCCAAGGACACTCCGGACCTGGACGACTGAAAAGGTGGGACATTCCCCTTGTTACCCCACACCCTTCATGAATGGAGGTGTGGCCATCCCCCGCTACCACCCACCTTCTGGGCCCACAGGAACTCCATCCCAGTCTTATGTGCCCTACCCTCCCCTGATTTTTTTTTCTCTTTCTTTTTTCTCGTTTTTAGTTTGCTTTTTTTGTCTGTTTTAAACTTATTATTAGTATTAATACATTTGTCCTTTTTACTATTATTCTTTATTCTTCCTCTCCCAGGTCCTAGTTTTCAACTCTTTTTCTTTTCCCTGTTCATGGTTGATAAATTTTTTTCTTTTTTCTTTTTTTTCTCATGGTTAACCCTATTCATTGTTTTTCTTTTTGCATTTTTCCCATTTTTTTCCTTCATCATTCTCCTCCTCTACCTTTTTTCTCTTATTGCCCTATGCCCAGATATTGCAGGTTTTCTTTTTTTTTTTTTTTCCTTTTTTCTTTTTTTGGTTACTGTTCCCATGGGATTACATGGTGTGTTTTTTTGTCCATGTGCTTTTAGTTTTTTAATGGTTATTCAGGTGTAATTTTTGTCTAATTGAGTGGGAGACAGCAAGAGTCCCCATAAGACACAACTACCCCCACATCTCCTGCAACTTCACTTACTGACCGAGAGCCAC